ATGCATTAAATATGGAATGAAAACCGGTAGCTACATGTACAGTCGTTTCTTGCTAAAGAAAGAAAATCGAACTTCCTGTCTATTTTTTTTTCTGATTAATAATAGATTCACTTTCAACTTCAATTTTATCTGTGCTCAATTTGCTTTTCATTCTTCTTATCACTTCCACCATCGCAAGCCGCCCCAGCACCGACACTGCCCTACCTACTGCCTTCCCAGCCTTCTTCAAGTGGTGCCAAGCACACCTTCGCGCCCGCGGTTGGGGGCGCCTCGATGAAGCTGCGGCTCGTTACCTGAGAACATGGGTTCATGTTCAACAAGGTAATGCCTCAACCGCAGAGGCAATCAAGCAGCTGCTGTGCCCAAATCTCGCATCACTAAGTCCCGCCTCATTGAGGCAGCTGCTTTGGGGGACGACGCTGGTGAGGCGGAATGGGTCCTACCAACTGGTACCGACCTGCGGGGACTACCTACGGATCAAATGCGGACCATCCTGGCGGATCGTCGAATCAATGGGCGCGTTCAATTCCTAACCTCCAGGGTGCCAACCTGGGAGCCGGCGGTGAACCCCCCTTCAAACGAAATACACATATACAGAAGACGCCAACGGCACCGAGTGGAGCGCGCCTAAGTGGAAGCTGAAGCTACAGAAGAATAAACAAGTACCAACAGGCTCAATAAAGCATGTATTTTTTTCATAACTAATAAATTGCTTGTTCCTGTTCTGCCTCTTGTCGTTTGTGTAAGCTGCAACCGTTGAACCGCACAGCAACACACCAAGCCATCCGCAAGAGCAGTACAGGGCCGAAACCCTTCAACTTGCCCCGCACAAGCTCAGCACGCTGCCGGCGAATCCCGATGAAGCAATGCCTGTCTAGGTAGAACGTAATCGTAGTCTGCGTGTCCAGGTAGAAGGTAGTGGAAGTCTGCATTTCCAGGTAGAACGTAGTGGTAGTCTGCATGTCCAGGTAGAACGTAGTGGTAGTCTGCATGTTGAGCTGCTCGGTGTCCATGGCGCACGGGCGCCGCCGTGCCGGGAATCACGGCCGAGGCACGTCGCGCACAGGCGCTTGACGCTTAGAATGGAAATTGCTGAATGAGCTAACTGCTCCTCGCTACCAGGGGCAGTCAGCTCATTGGCTAAATGTCGGGGGACGCGGCTGCGGAATAGATGGTCCGTAGCCACGTCCCACTATCTGTGCAGAGTGTGGCAGAGTCTGCATGCCAAAGCAGCCAGCATGCGCACGATCTGTTTGGCACGCAACCAACACGTGTGCTGGCTGCATCTGGCAGTGTGATACTACTATTTTGTCCTACGCATGCATGCACTTAGCCAGCCAGCTCCACCTACATGTTGTAGTTGGGGAGTCAAATCCTGAACAGTATCCAGAGTATCGACAATGCTGTATACGGCATATCGACACTCAAGATGACAAGATACACCGTTACGCGTCCTGTTTTGACATGGCTCGCGTCCAACCATTTGGGGCCAAGGCAACTAGGATCATGTAGACTACAATAATTATTCGCTTTGCTATTTACCTGCAAATACACTAGGCCAAACTTCCTGGGAGCTCCGCCGGCTCCCCCAACCGTGGCTTACTTTCGCTGGGTACTACAGCAATACACTAATAATATGTTTTTGCTGTGATAAGTAGGAAGGCCTCATGAAGATGCGCAAGTTTTCCAGGCAAATTGATGTGCTCGTTTATTCAGAAAAACTGACATGTTCCTTTTCTATAATAACTGGTATGTTCCTTTTCTTCAAAAACAGGTCTAGAAATAACATTAGGTTCCTTTAAATTGACACTAAATATTGTGCTTTGCACACATTCTGTCTAAACGTTATGGGGGTCTCGACGCGGTTTATTTCTCGTTGGCGTATACTGTTTCGTCGTAGCGGTAATGTGATACCGAAGACGCGAATCCCGCTTCAATTGAGAATGAACCGTAGTTATTTGCCGATTGGCCGTGAAGGAGGAGGACAGTGTGCAGGCTAGCACTTGTTCAAGTCAACAAGCTGAGAAAGAAGTAGCCGGACATTGCATTGTCGCTGTGTCTTTGCGTTGCTGCAGAGTTGCCTTGTTATCCGGTATGATCAACCTATTTGTAACGTTAGGTTGTGTTCTAGCTTTAGATTCACGAAATAGATTTGTCGTTGTTTCAGATGCGCTATTAAAAAGCCAAAGTTGATGCAAAGCACAATACAATCTAATAGGTAATAGATTAATTGATAAAATATTGCCTGAATTAAGCTGCTTACCACTGGGAACCCCTGGACGCTACAGATGTAACGGGTCTTGAGAACCCGGTACCTTAGCGTACACTAGTGGGAGGAAGCTGGAAGGTTTAACTCTGAGATTCATTGTTAACGGCGCGGTCTCGACACGTGAGACCGCGGCAACCAGTGGTACTGTTCTACATGCTGATTGGCTACCGTAGTGACACGGTAGCTGCTTATAGCCCGTCACACTATCCCCCTTTAGATAGAGAACACGCGGCATTTGGCATTGGGATCAGCGAGGGCCGAGGTGAACGAAGACGCTTCAACAATGGAGGAGGAGCTCGAGCGGTGGATGCTGCATGATTGCAGCGCCTACCTTGACGCGCGCAGCCCGAACGAGATGAAGCACTTGTTAGAGAGATTCCGAGCGACGCTCGGCAAGAACGTCACGGTGACGCCCACCGTGACCATCCGGTCTCTCGACCGAGTGTGGACGGCGTTTGTCAAGCGCTGGAACCTGAAGGGCTGCGAGGCTTACGAGTCGATGCTGCAGAGGCGTGAAGCTGATCATGCTCGGTTGTCCGTCGGTGATCTGGCTGCGCAGGTCTGTAGTCTGTCTCGGGAAGCAGGTCGCCGATGCTGCGTCGCGCGCCTGGACGACGGGTGTCCGCGCTGTCGCGAGCGGGGTTTCTCGCGACCGGACCATGAAAAGTGGCGTCGCGTTCTGGAGGCGGTGCCTGTTACTGGAGTGGAGAGGAAAGTGATCGGGCGTTACCAGCAAACGCTGAATGAGGCTAGGCGCGACGGGCGGCTGCGCCCTCTGCGCGATCCGTCGCTGGTACGAGTGTGGATGCTCCGTCCCCAGAGGGGCAGGGACATGGGGATATCGTCCGTAGTTGACAGAGAATGGGGTGAATCCCGTCGAGGCATGGATAGCGTTGCTCATGGTAAATTTGACCATCGGTAGGAAAGTGCTCCAGGACTTGAACGAAGTAGCAAAGCTGCGTAGAAAATATTCGACGACTCGGTTTGCTCGTTCAGTCTGGCCGTCCGTCTCAGGGTGCGACGCGGTGGACATCTTCAACCGCGTCCAGAGGAGGAGGAACAACTCTTGCCAGAAAGCCGCAGTGAAACTTGGATTGCGGTCGGAGATGATCGAAGACGGCAGACCGCGATGCCGATAGACAATATCCAAGAAGATCGCCGCGGACTGTTTCGCGGTGATGGTGGAGGCGGTTGGAGTAATATGGACCATCTTGCTGAACCGGTCGACGAAGACAAGGATTCCAGTACGGCCTTGCACATCACGGGGAAGACCGAAAACGAAGTCCATGCTGACGGACGACCACGGCGCAGTAGCCACTTCGAGTGAACGAAGTGGCGCTTGATTCGAATGCGAGGGCTTCACGTTGACACGCTTCGCAGAAGCGTATCCATTTGAGCACCCATTTGTGCATGTGCGTCTCGCGAGAGTGACGCGACCGTCTTCTCGCGTCCAATATGTTCACTACTGGAAGAATCGTGGGACTCGTGAATGAGACGAGCTCGAAGGTCGTCGTCGAGCGGAACGACGATGCGCGGTGGGTCGTCACGATCAACCTGGTAATCCAGCAGATCACCATCAAGGCCGTGTCGGTCGACGCAAGAACGGGTGCGCGTCGACAAATGTCGCCGTGCCGAGTCGGACGGGTTTTGCAAGTACTTGATCGCATTCATGTACGCCGCGTCGGACTCGTACGCGGTCACTATCATGTCGCGGAGAGGGCTGCTCGCGGCAACTGCAAACGCACCGAGTTCTCCGGCTGTGCACACGGCACACTCGTCATCGTCCTTGTCGCCAACTACAAGGCGACCCGACTGCACGTAGTCCGGCCGACGTGACAGCGCGTCGGCGAGGATGTTGGTCTTGCCAGGTTTGTAGTGCACGACAAAATTGTACTCGGAGAAGAGGGAAAACCATCGCGCCATACGGTGGGATCGGCGCGGGCTTTTGGTCGCCGTCCGTAGCGAAGCGTGCTCGGCGTAGATGGCGAAGGCCTGCGCGCTACAGGTACACGAGAAACTTGATGAGTGCGTAGCGCATGGCTAGGATCTTCTTATCATGGACGGGGTAGTTGCGCTCCGCCGGCTTCAGGTGGCGAGACTGTTAGCTGCTAACTTGTTCGCGCCCGCCGTCGCCGAACTGCATCAAGGCGCACCCAATGGTGTAGTCGCTTGCGTCGCAAACGATGTGGAACGGCTTCGAGCGGTCAGGAAGCATGAGAACGGGCGCGGTGGATAAGCTCGCCTTCACCGCGTCGAATGCCGACTGGTGCTCAGGACGCCATGTCCATGTGGCGTCCTCCTTGAGGAGCTGCGAGAGCGGGTGAACGGACTCGGGCGAAGTTCTTCGCGTAGTGGTGGAGGTATGTGGCGAGCCCGATCCACTGCCTCAGCTGCTTCTGGTCCTGCGGAGCTGGCCAATCACAAATGGCCGCGATCTTCTCTGGGTCTGCACGGACCCCTTCCTTGCCGACATAGCTCCCGAGTGCTGGGATCTCGGCAGCGCAAAAGTTGCACTTCTTCAAGTTCGCATACAGCTTGTTCTCGCGCATCACTTCGAACACCTCACGGAGGTGCCGGAGGTGGACCTCATTGTCGATCATGCCGTCCTCGGCATGACTGTGAATAAAGGTGTCGTCGATGTAGCTGGGTGCGAAGTCGTGATACGGGCACAGTAGGTTGGACACCATACGGTTGAAGGTGACCAGGGCATTTTTGAGCCTCTGCGGCATCATGAGCCATTCCCAAAGCATGCCGCTGGGCGTGCTGACAGCGGTCAGCGGGACGTCGTCTTCTCGTATCAGGATCTGATATAAGCCATCAGATGAATCGCGCTGTAAGTGGTGCTGCCCGACATGGTGTCGAGCACCATGTCCTTGCGGGGAATCGGCGTCTGCGCCGGGATCGTGACGTCGTTGAGCTCGTTGAAAGTGTGGATAATTCTCCATCCGCTCGTCGCTTTCTTAACGCAGAAGGTAGGGCGGGAATGGGGTGACAGGCTATCGGAAACGTGGCCGACTTGCCGGCGACTTTCTAAGAAGGCGTCAATTGCTTCAACTTGGTCGCGGGGAAGGGGCCACTGTTGAGTCACGCAGTACTTGGATCCGGGCACGAGGTCGATCTCGTGCCGCACGCCGGGATCTGGGGGGCAAGGCCTCTGGAACCTTGTCAGGGAAGATATCGATAAATTCGTGGACTAGGGAAGCCCCAGGGTTGCCTGACGCTTGGAGAGCCGGCAACGACTGATCCGCATACCGTACTTCGCAAGCGCTTTTGGGTTCGGCACCTTTCGGACGATGTCGCGGAACGGGCGCTGAGTCCGCAGGGCCGACGTTGATAGCCGCGATGGATGCGGCGTCCTTAACCACAAGCATACACACTTGGTCAACCTCGCCGTGTTTCAAGTCGCGGAGGAAATGGTTCCACGACAGGCCGGGAAGCTTGGTGATAGCGTTGGCATCGCACGGAGGGTGTGCAACCTCGAGTTCGTACAAGCGTGCTTGACAATCGCAGGCATCTCCCACCATAACGGTATGGTTTCAGACTTCGGATCAACAGAGGTAGTTGAAGAAACACGTGGCCGTCATGGTGTTTGTCTACCACGACGGCGGACCGGACGTTGTTCGTCCTGCAAGACAGGAAATGAGAGCACATGCTCGATCACGTCTGTCGAATCGCGACTATTGACCGATTCGGCGCCCAGATACGGGATACACGTCTCTACCGTATCGGATCTTGCAGGGAGCCCCCGCTCGACCACATGCGGGAGCTCAGCTACGACTGCATGTGGGAGGCCATGCTCAACCATGTCTTGTTTACTTGGGAGCCACTGCTCATCAGGACACGGGGGTATCTGCTCGCCCGTGTCGGGCCCGTCCTGAGAGCCATACTCAGGGCGTGCACATGTTGCATGCTCACACGCTGCACATGTTGCATGCTCACACGCTGCACATGAAGGGCCATCGCTCGATTCAGATGCATCGATGGACATGGCGTCTGGGGCCATGACAGCAACATGTGGCCAAAACTTGAGTGTTCTACGGAGGAACGCCAGCACCGCGTTGACATCGATGTCGCGAAGGCGGACTGTACGGGTCAACCAGTCGATGTGGGGCTGGTAACGAGCAAGCCACGGGATACCGCAGTCAAAGGATCCGCTCAATTCGATCACCAGAAATTCATCCGTTCCCGAGAATATCTCTCCTTTCACGGCCAGTAGGGCGCCCGGCACCTACTGATTGTCGCCGCATTTTGGAGCGGCGACGTCAGTCTCAATGGAGACGTTCGCCAACACGGGCGCCGGTACACGACACACCGCCGCGCGATGACCAGGTTTACGACAGCGGAAGCATTTCATCTGTCGTGGGTCGGCGAACGCGTCGATGTCGGCATGGCACGTCGCCCATTGTAGTGCCGGATAGCGTCAATCTACATTGGCTCCGGCTCCAGTTTAGGTGCCGGGGCCGGAGAGAAGTCGAATGCTTGCGAAGCAGTCACGCTGTAGTCTTTCCGAAGTGCCACGGAGAACGTTCTTCGAGAGTCGCAGGGGTCTTTCTCGTCAAGTAGAAGCACTGGTATCCGGAACTCCTGAGCGATCGGGCGTTGTTGGGCTTCCGAGCCAGCCGTCAGCAACATCTGGATGGCGGCCTCGCCTGTCACGGCGGCCAGGTGACGTAGCGTTTCCCATTTTATCGAAGAAAAAGGAGGGAAGCTGGCATGCTCGAGGGACGTGCTGGTCATCTTGGACGCGTCGCTCAACGACGTGTCGTTCATATTGGTCACTGGGCGGATTACTAAGTGCTACCAGGTGTAGCGGGGCTTGAGAATCCGTTATCTTAGCGTACACTAGTGGGAGGAAGCTGGAAGGTTTAACTCTGAGATTCATAGTTAACGGCGCGGTCTCGACACGTGAGACCGCGGCAACCAGTGGTACTGTTCTACGTGCTGATTGGCTACCATGTTGGCACGGTAGCTGCTTGTGTGACAATAGTCCGTCACAACTGATGTCTACTCAGCGTGCGAGATGCTACGTGCAGCGAGTTCGTCGTACGTGCGCAAATTCATATTAGTCAGAAACAAAGGTTTACGGTCTTTATCTAGGTTTGATAAAATGCTTGATAATGGATAGCAGTGTGGCCTTCGTGCGTTTATGGAAAACGATGCGGCCGAGCCACTGACCCGTCGTCCTGTCAACGCCCCCGAACAACCAGAACTCTTTGTAATGACGGCCACGACCGTACGTCGACTTCTTCTTGAGACTCGTTTCGTTTGTTTCGACGATGTGTCCTTCGCCTCCAATCTGTCGTTAATACAGTTAGAGATTATTTACAATTTAAGAGTATAACAACATATTTTTATACCTTGAAATCACCGTTGAGTAGCTCTTTCGAGCACAAGACCTGCCACGCAGCGTACCGTTCCGAGACGGTGTTCTCGCTGACCTCGGCCATATGTGCGGCTTGGGGGATGACGCTCGCATACACCACGCAAACATCAGACGTAGGGCTTGGGAAAGCGTGAGATTCATCTTCGAGAACCAAGAGTTCACGAAGATGCTGTGCTGCTCTTGCTCCCGTTGCCATGGCGCTTATTTTTACAGCAGCGCCAGTAGCGCTCTTTTGCGGTGAGGCGCATGGGCTGGTGCACTGAGGGCACAGCATCGTCTTCTCCAGCAGCCCCACCTCCATGGCCTAAGCAGCTCGTTGGTGGTCGCCTCAATGACCGCGCTGATATCCAAGAGGTGGAGCCGCAGATCGTTACAGTTGTGCGACATTGCTGGCACTTTTCGAAATAAAATAGAAATGACAACAGAGATTTAAAACGGTCCTTTCAATTGTTTATACTAGGAATTTGTAGGGAAGATTAAAGCTGCGCATACGAACTGCGCGCGAAAATGATCGCTGCTGTGGCACCGATGTGCATCAGATCAGATACTGGGTAATACTGATTCTGAGGATCAGATAAAAACTTTGTTTTTTTTGTTGTTTTTGGAAAACGGAGCTATTCTTGGGGAGGGCCGACTCCAGCTTTCCAACGAGGTCATATTTATGGAAGTACGGAACACGGCATTGATGATCAAGATGAGTATGATAGATATGGGTAGTGTACAATATGTAGGTCCACCTTCTTCTAAAACAATACTGGTCAACTTCCAGTGGATATCGTGGAGGTCTTGACAATCAATATTGTTCCATACAAATTTTACAATTTTACAATATCATTTTTTTTCTTCCGAGCCCTGTCACCCTAGGCTCCGAAGTGTGTATGTTATTTAACGCTACTTTTAGGTACATTTACGGTACACTCTCGTATTCGCCTTCGCATAGCCCTACATGTACAGTGCGCGACAGGTTGTTATGACCAGCCACATTTTTGGTCGTAGCTCCCTCAATTTTGCGAGTTGAGGCTTGCTATTTAGATATATTGTTTAGGACGTAATCGCGCTTTTAAGACTTGTTTTAACGACGGCGATATCGCATTTTGAGAGGGGTCTAGTATACAAGCCACCACATTTGTGTCTGCGTCCATTAATAAGACCACCCAGTCCAATACAAACAACAAGATAAAAAATGAAATGGCTACATCACTCCCAACCATTTATTCAGCAATTGCCACTAGCGCTCTACGCCTTTCATTCATTGTTTGGACTCGATGGGACTGGGGCCAGCACTTTCGGACGAAGAGGAGGGAAGTATCAAAGGGCTGTATGAAGCTGGCTGCAGTGAACGCGAAATTGAGAGACGTGTTGGCCGCTCTCGTGGGGCTATTAGCCGCGTACTTTTTGGAAGCGAGAGAGAGCGAAAAAACCTGGACCTGCTGCTGCTCTGACGGACCGAGAGGTTCGCTTGCTGCTGCGCACAGCGGCCAAGGGCGACTACTCTGCACGGCAGCTCAAGAGTGAGCTTTGCCTGTCGGCATCGGTGCGCACTATTCAGCGAGTGCTTGCCGGTGTCGACTGGCTAGTCTATACAAAGATGAATAACAGCTTGCCGCTCTTAGCGGAGGACAAAGTGGCTAGGGAAGAGTGGGCGTGGGCGAGGATTTTCAACACGGATGCCACCGGGTCCTGGGATGCCATCATCTTCTCGGACGAGAAGAAGTGGAATCTTGATGGTCCCGACGGCTTCCAGACCTACTGGCGGGACATTCACCAGCCGGTTCGACGGACGAAGCGTCGACAGGCTGGTGGCGGATCCGTAATGGTGTGGGCGGGGTTCAGCGCTGCTGGCAAGACGGAGCTCGCAGTGCTGCATGGCAAGCAGAACTCGGACGACTACGTCTACACTATGTTCGAGTATCTGCTGCCTTTTGCTAATCTTCATTATGGTACAGATTTCGTCTATCAGCAGGACGGAGCGTCCATTCACCGGTCCAAGAGGACGAAGGAGTTTTTCGAGGAACAGGGCATGCATGTGCTTCCGTGGCCAGCCAGGTCTCCGGATTTAAATCCGATCGAGAATCTGTGGTCCATCTTGAGTCGGCGTG